GGGGGGGGGGGGGGGGGGGGGGGGCGTGCATGCGTTGCAATCATGGAGGCATCCTGGAGGTGCGGGCCCTTCGCCAAGCTGTGAGGGGTGAACCCGAAAGTGCCTCCACCCGAGAGCGCCAAGGCCGGGGCGCTAGGGGCTATGCACTTCACGCCCAGAGCACCGCAGCCAGCGACTGTAGAGCCCGCCCTCAGGACGCGGGAGCAAAGCTTTGGTAGATCCTGTGAAGAAACCCTGAAAAAAGACTGAGTATCCGGGGAAGGAGGTCAGGAAATGAGAGGAGGGTTAAATAACGCAGTCCCGGAGAGAGGCGGAGAAACGCCTGGGGCAGTCGGGGAGACTAGGATTGCAAAGAGGGTTTAGAAATCAAACCTATTTGGGAGAGAGAATTGACGAGGCTGGAGGATTGGAAAGAAATAGGAAGGATGGAGTCATTTAGTGAATGACAAAGTGGACATCTCTTAAGAACAGACTTTTATAAAACAGAAAACCGTTGTTCATCTGGAAAGATACAACGTTGAGTCGTATGTTGCATGCACTACATGCAGAGGCAAGTTCCAAATGGATCAAAGATTAAAATATAGAACATGAAACCAGGTTTCAGAAGAAACCTAGGCGTGGTGGCCCAGGCTGGTAGTGATAGGTAAGTTAATTAGATATCTTGGAGGCAGCTAGAGCGTCTCTCAAGGAGCCTAGACCGCTAGGAGCCAACAAGGAGAACAATTGAGGCACCTTCACTGGTTACCATTACAAAAAGAAAAGAGGCACTACTTCCCCTAGAGATGGAGGGCAGTGACTGATATTCTAAATGGGGAAATCCCTTGTATGAGACTTGTTTTCCAATTTGCTCCCCATGTAATCACTATTACCTGGGTGATCTTATTGGTTGGTCGTGATTTTGACCCACCTCATGCACACCTTGTAATTTTTGCATTGGGTCTTATAGTTTTGTCCCACTTTGTACCTGCCTCACCTCATGGCTTTGCTGTATAAAGCAACTTTGAAAAGTGGGGTGGGTGGGCAACCCACTTTCCAGGCCCCTTTCTGTCTCTCTTAGACAGAAGCTTTCTTTCTCTCAATAAGTTTTTCCTACTCTTAACCTCCATTGTTCCTAGAATTCATTCTTCAATTTTAAAGAACACAAACTCGAGTTTCAGATATCTAGCAGATTTGGGAGTTGCATCTATTCCCCTTATATCACCAGCACTTAGGAGGCTAGAGGCAGAAGGATCTCCGAGAGTTCATGACCAGCCTGAGCTAGATAGTAAGTTCAAGGACAACCTGAACTACACAGCAAGACCCTGTCTCAAAAACAAAACACAGGGCAGGGGATTTAGCTCAGTGGTTCTGCCACCTACCTCGCAAGTGCAAGGTCCTGAGTTCCATGCCCGGAACCAAAAAAAAAACCCACATAATAATAATAATTGATTTTAAAGTAATGTCAGAAAAAAACATGGAAGAATTATTTTATAACCTTGAAAGGAGAAAGTTCTTGCTAATTATGACTAAAATCCAGATGCTAAGAAAGATAAATTTTACTATATCAGTATCAAAAACTTTTGCACAGAAAAATATAAGCAAAATCAAAAGACAAACCATGGAGAAAATATATCACAGGTAAAGGGTTAATTTCACTAATAGATGAAGATGCCTAGGATATACAAAGAAAAAGACCAACAACCCAGGAGGGAACACAAACTCCTAGAAAAAATAGAGATAGCTGCTAAACATATGAAAATACAGTGGATCCTTGACTTACAAAATCAATTTATTTGTAAGGGCTGGTTGTAACTCAAGTTGGTCAATTGAAGGCTCCTCTACAAAGCCTTCAAAATCTCTCTCCTGTTTACAGAACATTTGTCTCAGTGTCCTTAGAGAGATATTGGCCCAGGATTTCTCAATTAACCCCACACAGGAAAGGATGCTGTAATGTTCCTTCCCGAACTCACTAAGAGTTAAATCTGTAGGGCCGGGGATTTAGCTCAGCGGTTTCACCGCCTGCTGCACAAGCTCAAGGACCCGAGTTTGATCCCCGGTACCAAAAAAAAAAAAAAAGAGTTAAATCTGTATCTGAGACCATCTGGAAGCACAAGCAGTCAGCATTCAGGTTGTAACTCAAGACTTTGGTGGTAAGTTACAACTAAAATTTCAGTCATAACCGAAGCTGTTTGTATCTCAGGCCAGTCATAACTCGTGTCCACTGTATACTCGATTTCACTCACAATATTAAAAATTCAGATTAAAACAGTACTAGGATACCATTTCTTACCTATCCAATATTTTAAGTCCAAAAGATTAACACAGTCTCTTGATAAAACTGGGAGAAAAGGCAATTGTTCTCAAAATTATAAAAGCATTTACTCTTTGATCCAGGAAATTCTGTGAATTGATCCTATAAATATAAATGCACAAATATGTACAGGGTTACTCATTGCAGCATTGAGGTATTGCAAGAAGAGTGGAAACCACTCATGAACCCATCAATAGAGGACTGAATAAATAAACAATGATCCATCCACATAACACAGCACTATGCAGCCATAAATAGGAAGCTCCAAGATGTATTAAGTAACAAAAGCAAGGTACTAAAAGTATATCTAATACATAGAGTGTCAAAATTGTAATGTGTATATCTAGATAATGTATATGATAAAAGATACAAATAAGGACATTTTCTTGTTTCAGCTCCAACAAACATAAAGTTACTTTATCTAAATGTCACCTAGGGGTATGGTTTGGATTTGAAATGTCCCCCAAAGGCCTGTGTGCTAAAGTTTTGGTTTCCAGACTGGTGTGCTCGGGAGGTGGTGGAAAGTTGAAGAGGTGGAGCACAGTGGGAGGCCTTTCGGTCATCGAGAATGTGCCTCTGAAGACTAGTGGGCCCCAAGCCCGTCCTCTTCCTCTCTTTGCTGCCTGGGTGCTGTGAGGTGAGCAGCTTGCTCCATAACACGCTTCCCACCATGATACACTACCTTACTACAGGCCCAAAAGCAGTGGGGCCAATAAACCATGGACTGGAACTTCCAAAACGGTGAGCCAAAATAAGCATTTTCTAGTATAAGTTTATTATAATCTGACTAGCAAAAAAAAAAGTAATTACATATGGCAATGGGAAGACATATGTAGACAGAAGCAAAAAAAAGAGAAAGCATTCACAGTGTATCCCCATTTATATTGTTTAATTTTGTACCATATGGATATACTAAAATGTCATGCCTGGGGCCCTAGTTTAACCAACTGAGAGGTAGGAGGGATGTGAGTTGAGAGATGTGCAGGTGTTATAAACAGAGAAAACAGGAGCGTGCGGGTGAAAATAATGAATTGGTTCAGTTTGGGATAGATAAGTTTGAAGTGCCTCCATGTTGTTGGGGAAAAATGTTCTGAGAAACTCTGAGGAGAATCAGGGCTAGAGATGTGGAAATCATTAGTGTATCAGTAGGAGTTTACACTAGATGGCTGGAGGACTCCACCCAAGGACAGACCCCCAGGGTGCCTGTGTTTGAAGAGTGTACACAGGTGATAGCCCTGAAACTGCTCGGGTAGTTTGGGAGAGGAGTGGGGTCTGTTAGGTTGGCCTAAGTCTGTTTCTGTACTTGGGTGATAAAATTTGGCAACAGGATGCCTCCTTAGGTAATGAACTGCAATCTAACTCAGTATGCAAACAAGCTGAAAACTAACTTAAGTCTGTCTTTTCATGTAACAGAAAGCTGAGTCTCAGCCAATCACAGCAGTCAGCATCAGCTAATCACAGGCACCAACTGATCAGACAGACCATGTCCATGTAAGGCAAATAGCTCCTCATACCATGCTCATATAAGGCAAATGCCAATTGCAGCTAATCAGGATTTTTCTGCAGGTCACTTCCTTTTTTCTAGCTATAAATATAACCTGCACTGTGTGTGGTCAGGCAAAGCATTCCAAACCAACTTCAGTCTGGAATGCTGCTGGGTTCCAGAACCATTTTCTTGCTCAAATAAACTCTGTTAAATTAACTCATCTCAGATTCTTTTTAACAAACTGGTCAAATGTTCCAGGTCAAAACAGCACTCTCTTGCATTTAACTATGAGGGTCCTTGGTTTCCTTTGCCAAAGTAATTTTGAGGAGGTATGAGAGCAGAAACTAGACTGAGGAAGTGAAGTCATATGTAGAATCCTCTTCCAAGAAACTAGCCAAAAAGGAGAAAGAGGGGGAGGAGGGAGAGGAGGAGGAAGGGGAAGAGAGGAAGGAGGAGGAGGAGGAAGAGGAAAAGAAGAAGAGAAAGAAAATAGTTGAGAAAAGAAAAAGACAATAGTTACAAGGAATAGGGAGTCTCAATTCAGCTGTTTCTTGAACGTCCTGTTTAAACATCATGTTTTAATTAAAAAACTCCCAGATAATCCTTCCCCACCACAACCACCACCACTTATTATTATCCATCCTAGGCTCAGAAGAAATCTTGGATTGAACTCTTACATCTAAATTTCTGCCTAGGCCATTGCTATGGGGAAAAAAACAGTCATGGGCTTGGGGATTTCATTCTAGAAAGGGAGCTCTTGGACTCGCATGAACAGTGCTTCCTGACAAGGGAACAAGGAGCTGAGGAAGCTGTGTTCACAGTCTGTGGCTCTGAAGTTTCTCCTTTGGAAAGGGCGATGAGTGCTTATATCTGGTCCTGGACCTGTAGAGTTATACAGCTCCCAATGGCCAGAGACTCTCAACCCCTGTGGTGGCTTTTTACTGTGTCAACAAGCTAAACTGGAACTAAGTTTCCCCAAATTCCCTCTTTGCATATTCTGGGTGAAGGCAGCCAACTGAAAAATCTACATGAGATTTGGTAAGGGTTGAGGAGTAAAACAGCAACCATCACACATGGAAGACTGGCTTAAGGTACCCA